GAAATAGTCCCCATCTGTCCAAGAGGATAGCCACTAGCCACATGTGGCCAGTGAGCTGCTGAAATGTGGCTAGGGCAAGTGAGTAACTGAATTTATTTTATTTTATTTTAATTAATTTAAACTTAAATAGCCACTCTGCCAAGTGGGTACCCTATTGGATGCCACAGTATAGACAATAGTATTTGTTGAATAAGTGAAAAGATGAATGAGTAAATAAGCAGTAAAATATGTGTACTAAGTCTGATGAAGTTGTCAGAGCACTACTTATAGAGCACATGCCAGACAAAGAGTTGATTAAAACATATATCTAAGAAAAATTACTCTTAAAAATCGCTTTGCTAGGGTTCCTGGGTGGCTCAGTGGGTTAAAGGCTCTGCCTTTGGCTCAGGTCATGATCTCAGGGTCCTGGGATCGAGGCCCACATCGGGCTCTCTGCTCAGCAGGGAGCCTGCTTCCTCCTCTCTCTCTCTCTCTCTCGGCCTGCCTGTGTACCTGTGATCTCTGTCTGTCAAATAAATAAATAAAATCTTTAAAAAAAAAAAATCACTTTGCTATGCATATAGGGGAAGAGGGTACCTGGGAAACCTCTGTACTTCTGATAAACTTAGCTGTGAACCTAAAATTGCTCTAAAAAATAAAGTCTGTTAAAAACAGCTCTGGATTCTAGCCTTACTGATACCCCCATCACTGTCTAAATTTATCTTTTCTGAAATTCTAGTTCTGATGCAAACCTCCTGATTTCTCCTTCCTGAAGCAATATGGGTACATGTTCATAATAAACAAACAAACAAATACAACAACTCTTCAGTTTTGAAACTACAGAAGGAAAACCCTCATGCAGGCTTCTAAAATCCTGGGTCACGTTGCCTCAGAAGAAATATGCTAAGTTCCACCAATGGCTATAAAAAATTCAAATTATTTTTTTCAATACAAACTACTGATATAATTTCATCATGAGAAGTGGAACAATTTAAGTTGGAAAAATATGACTATATTATAAGTACATAATATAAAAATCTCAATAACCACTTGTCTGATTTTTTAATAAGCTGTTGAATTGAAGTATTTCCATCAATTCCTAATCATTTGCTTAATCATCTTATCATCAGCTAGTGCTCACCAATGTTTAAGCAACAGCAGCAACCAGGAAGAAAAAAATTCTGGAAGGAATATTTTAAATGCAGATAATGTTGCCCATTATCTTCAGTGTATATCTATAGGGCAGAAAATGGAATTAGAGAACAGAAAAATCAAGATTATTTCAAATAAAAGACTCTCTCCTGCCTCACTGTCAAGATGCCAGCATTTTATTTATTGACAATTGTCATCAGTGTGCCCACATCTAATGGTCAGCATAACCTTCCTACTACCACCATCTAGTTTGCTGTTTATGTGCTATGTTCTGACACAAGACAAATCCAAGCTAATTAACACAGTATGTAAAATAAAAGCAAACAGGGTCTATGGGAAAGACTATCTTATCAGTAAAGTGCATGAGCTTAAGGATATCGACTTTAGTTACTCTAAGCCTCTACTGATTAATTTCTGATTCTTTGTTCCTGATTCTTGACTGTGTACAGTTCCTGATTCTACACAGATATATATATATAAACTATTACCTCATTGGGAAATAATTCTTCCTTCACATCTGCCTCCCTAACTAGATTATGAACTCCATGAGTTCAGGAGCCATGTTTTATTCATCTTTGTACCTTAACATCTACAACAGCAGCAAGCACACAGCAAATTCTCAATGAATGTTTGCTTCCAAAATGACTCACAGGGGCTGCCATGAGTGAAATGTAATGATACACAGTAATTTGTGGCAATATGCACATAACCTTTCAATAAAGAACAGGAGCTCTAGGCTATATGGCTGCTGGCTGCTCAACTAGAGCATTACAAGGGTCAGGACTTTGGTAAGATAACCACACAGGCACAGTGTGTCCCTCAGCTCTGCAGCTAACTTGTTGCAATTAATTCAACTTCAGTATTTATCAGATCTTGCCACTTGGGGTAGAGAGGTAGACAAGAATATCAGATCACTCTACCTTGCCCTGAAAATAATGTCTAAACCCCCTCAAAGGACTTAACAGGTTCGACCTGATTTACCTCTCCAGCCACACAGCTCACCACTCATTCCCTAACAGTCTTTACCCTAGCCGTATTAACCCACATAGAATTCCATAATTACACCATGCGGTCTTCCAGTGGAAAACTGTCCTCGGGTGTGTCAAGAAAATCTCAATAAGCATTAAAAAACACTCGAACTATGGATTTAGTTCTTTGAAGCTAACAGACTGCTTCAGGCTAATTATTGACAAATATAGTCCTCTAAACAAATATTCCTTCTTCAGAAAGACAGAATGAAAAATACAAATGAATAGTGCTGTTGAGGGATGAAAGGCTGGAAACATAAACTTCTTGAAAAAAGGTACCAAAGTCTCCATGTCCTGGTACCTGTCATCACCCAGCACACAGTGGTTGCTCAATAAATGCTTGCTGAATGAACGAATGGATGAATGACCAAAGTGAAGTGGAAATGAGAAATTATGGGGACAGAACAACCCAGAAATATTAAGGGGAGTGGTCACACGTCCCAATTCTGACCAGAAAAGACTGAAAGAAAGGGCTGATGGAGGTTTCCAGGAAGAGCTCTCCTCATTCTCACACAAGGGCATAGAAGACCTGTTTCCCTCCTGTAGGACGTGAGTGTGGATGTATGTAGCCCTAGTGGCTACTAGCTGCGATCTTACAACCATTCAACAAGTTGACACTGTGGAAAATGGAGACAGAGATTCTCAACCTGACAGTCAATGTTGCACTGATGGTCCCTCTGCTCCTGGACTTCTAGTTGTGTGAGCCAATAAGCTTTCTTTTTATTTAAGTCAGTTTGGCTGTCACTTGCAGCCCAAAGTCTCCTGATACTGAGAAACAACAAAGAGAAAGTCATATTGACGATGAACACAACACATCATCATTTCACTTTGTAGCCTAATCAGAAACTAACAAAAATAAGAGCAAAACAAATCATTGTTATAAGATACAGATCTTCTATGTAACTGGTAAGGCATTAAAACTATATCAAATAATTCAGATGTATTTTCCAGAAAGAAAAAGGGATGGCACTCACTGGATGGAACTAACAGTAGATTAGACTTTATAAAAGAAAATACTAGTGAACCGGAAGACACAGCAATATAAAATATCCAGAAAGAAATACAGAGAGAAAAAAGACTGGGAAAAAAAATGAGTGGGTTGTGAGAAAACTTCACATGGTTCAATATGTATGTTACTGAAGATACCAAAGGAGAAGTGGAGGAGGTTGGGAAAAAATATTTGAAGAAATAATGGTCAAAATTTTTCTGAATTTGATTAAAAAGTATAAATCCATAGATGCAAGAATCAACAAATCACAAGTAAAAGGATCATGAAGAAAACTACACCAAGGCACATCATAATCAAATTGCTCAAAACCAGTGATAAATGTAAAAAGCTAGAGGAAAGACACATGATGTACAGAGAACAAGATTTAAGAATTACAGCAGACTTCTCCTCAGAAAGAATGCAATGCAGAAGACAGTGAAGCATCATTTCTTTTTTTCTTTTTAATTTTATTTATTTATTGGACAGAGAGAGAGCGAGCACAAGCAGGCAGAGTAGCAGGAAGAGGGAAAGGGAGAAGCAGGCTCCCTGGTGAGCCACGGGGCTCGATCCCAGGACCCTTGGATCATGACCTGAGCCGAAAGAAGTTGCTTAACCAACTGAGCCACCCAGGTGCCCTGTGCAGAATCATTTCTAAAGTAATGAAAGAAAAAAAAAAAAAGATCAATCTAGAGCTCCATACCCCACAAATATTTTCAAAGGAAAGCTAAATGACTTTTTGGTCATAAAAGTTGAAAGAACTCTCCAATTACAAACTCACACTACCAGAAATGTTAAAGGAAGTCCTTTAGGCAAAACGAACAAATACCAGATGGAAATATGAACTATAGTACAAAGGAATGAAAAGGCCTGGAAATGAGAAATATACCAGCTGTTTTTTATTTCTGAAATCTCTTTAAAAGACAATTAAATATTTAAAGCAAAAATAATAACAATATATGGTGTTTATAACATATGTAGAAAAAAAATGTGTAACAATAGCACAAAGGCCCAGGGGAAGAGATAAAGAGGTATTCGGGAAGAGGAATTATATTACTTGAAGGTAGTCTATGGTAAGTTAAAAATATATACTATAAATCCTAAGCCCTAAAGCAACCACTAAAAAAAAATTTTGAAAAATTAAAAAACCCAGTTATATCTACTCAGCCAACAAAAGAGATAAAATGGAATATTAAAAATGTACTCAATTCAAAAGAAGGGAGGAAAATCAAAGAACAGATGAGACAATCAGAAAACAAATAGCAAGACAGCTTTAAGCCTAAGCATAATCAATAATCACATAAAATGCAAATGTCCTAAACACTTCAAATAAAAGGCAGACATTGTCAGACTGAATAAAAAGCAGTTACTTATAAAAAAACTGGGTAGAAATAAAATATAATGACATAAAGGCTAAAACAAAAAATGATGAGAAAACATCTATAATGATAACACTAATTAAAAGAAAGATGGAGTAATTATATTAATACCAGACAAGATTTCAGAGCAAAAAATATAATCAAGGATTTTTTTAAAAGTCATTTAATAATGATAAAAGGGTTCATTCATCAAGAATACATAACAATCCTAAACATTTATGCATCCAATAAGTCAGCCCACCAAAACAAGAATATAGAAAGATGCCTTTCATGATTAAAACGCACCATCAGCATTCCTGAATCAAAAATGAACATTGCCAAAACAGGACTTAAGATCTTTATGTAATAAGTGGCATGCAATTTTACTAATAAAAGTGCAGTATTCCCCAAAAGGGTCAAAGGTAGTAGTATGTTAAATGACAAAATATTTATGACTTCAATGCCAGGTCTGATCAAAGACATCTAAAGCTGACTCACCTTTCATATTGCCTATCTCGTGGTAATGAAGCACCCCAATGTCGAAAGTCCATGATTAACATAAGTAAAAGGAGACAGGATATGAAGAAGAGTCCTAGGAATGCCACCCGCTGACGTGGAAATGGACTCACTGTGGGCACAGTAAAGTACCAGGAGGCTGGGCAGAGGTAGGAAAAACTGATCCTGAAATGAGACAAACATCATTAGTAAGTAAAGAAAGTCTCTACGGTTGAGTGCTCAAAAATGGTTTTTAAACTGGACTAAAGCCCTTCCAAATAAAGGCAAAAATTTATGCCACCAGAAGTCTATCAATGTTCTCTTAGTCTCAAACTTTAGAAAAGAACCTACATAGTTCATAGTGCTTCTATAAATCAGAAAAGCCTTATCTGCTCCTTTCCCAATGTCTGCTCTTTGGGGTGTAATTCAAAGAATTACTCTCATGTTTATGGAAAGATCACCAGTCTCCCTGGTCAATCTTTAACACTGCGGAATGAAAGCAACTACAGCATTCCCATCAAGAATGATGTCCAAAAAAAACGGACAGTCAGAATATTTTTCCAACTAATTTTTTAAAAAATATTTTAATAAATAAAATACACACATGGTAAGAAAAAAACATAAGATTGAAAGGACATACAGTGGAAGATGAGCCTTTGGCCTTAACCAATCATTTCCCACTCAAAGGCAACCACTGGTACCGTTTTCTGTATATTTTTCCAGGGATACTCCATGTTTACACAAGGATAAATGTGTATCATGTATGACAATATACATGTGTGAATCTCGATTCCTCTGATTTTACATTGTACCTATGTTCTGCATCTCTCCCCACTTACTCTATTTGACAATTGTTCCATCTGGTATTTTGATCCGCATTAATCTTTTCTGAAAGTTTCAGAGCATCACAATGTATGGATACACATACTCAACTATGATATGAAGTTCACTTTCCATATTGTTCAAAAGGATCTCAGCCTACTTTCAAAGTTCATTAAAAAAACAAAAAACATTGTTTAACCTCCTCAGAATGCATGTAGTCTCACTCAAATGGAAATCTGAAAGAACATTACATTTTAGCACTTTTCACATGTCAGCAAGCACTCACTCCATCACCCTGGGGTTATGAGCCAGAAACTACAGTTGTGTCTGCCTTCAAAAAAAAAAAAAAAAAAAAATCACTAAATCACTTTGATCTTCTTTGCATCCATCCGACCAAGCAGCCAAGTCCAGATGCAGCACTAGGGAAAACCTCACTTGTAAAAACATGCCAGGGCCCCTCCACCTACCTGCCACCCCCAACTGCGCCCCAAGCTGAGGAGAAAATGTGCAGCCTTACCTAGCCATGGGATCCCTTCAGTGGTCTCAGTGCCTGTCACCTCCTTTTCTTTTTGCCCTGAGAAATTGGTCTCCTTGTCTCAGGCATCTCCTAAGTCTGCAGCCTGTTAAGAGTGCGTGGGGTTTCAGGCTTACCTCCAGCAGTGCCCACAGGACTAGACCTCCGAGGGAAGGCCAAGGCGCCCACCCGCCCCATATGCGTCCGCTCTTTTTCCCGGGGCCCAGCTGACGCTAAGCCGACTCCCCGGGAGCCGGGCGTTCTCGAGGCAGCGGCGCTTCCCAGGTGGCGAGGTGGGGGTGCCCACTTCCCCTCTCCGCCCTCCCCGGCTCTCCCAGCCCCGCGGCCCTCCCCCGCTCGCACTCACAGGTCGAGCGGCCCGCAGGCTCCCTCGGCAACGTTCCGCCCGGTCCAGCGCGCTTCCCCGCGGCCTTTCGCCCAGCGGGAAAGAGGCCTGGGCGAGCGGCGGCGCCACGTCCCCAAGGAAACCGCAGGGAGCCAATGACCGACTGCAGACCCGCGGAGAGGGGCCCAGCCTCCACCCAGCCGGGGCTGCGGGCGAACTAGCTGCGCCGGCCGCACGTCCGTTCGCCAGAGTGGCCAGTCCCCAAGAGCGTTCGGCTTCTAATGCCCGCCCCGGGATTTAGCGCGCGTCCAATCCGGAAAGGCGTCGTGCCGTAGCTCCGCCCTGACGGGCCGGGTGGGCGCTCCCGTGAGCCCGGCGAAGCGGTGCAGGGGTGCCCTGCGCCCGCTGCCCTCCTGGCGGCGCGATTTCTCTGCTAGCTTCTTGCTGCGCGGCCGTTTCCAGGACTGAGCGGCGCCGGCAGGTGAGTCTTGCAGAGGCCACGAGAGAAATGCATCCCTTGTCCACAACCTATCAGAGGTATTTTGTGCAGCAACCGTGATCGCCAGAATTAAACCTTCCCTATAGCCTCCCAGACTTATGCCCTCGCTTCCTTGTTTTGTCCTGTTAGAGAAACAGAAATGGGGGGCAATATCGTTTACAACGAATTCCTTCAGCATTCATTGAATGTCTACTGTGTGCCAGACGTGAGCCCCTGTGCCCCTGCCCTCTCGGACCTGACAGTAATACATAGAGAGGTAATGAATGTTTCCTTAATGTTCTTCTTCCTAGCTGACACCAACCGTTTCTCTCATTTCCAGGAGGGAGCCCTTTGGACAGGATAAAGTCCAAGCCCTTACAAACGTGGCATACACATGGCGATCCAGGACCCGCCCATGCAGCCTCTTCTGCGGCTCCTCACCTTCTTTCCTGTGCTTCAACAACGCACATCCGTGGCTTCTGCCCTCTTAGGCTTTGTTCATTCTGCCTTCTCCACCCTTCCATCCGCCTTGAATATCCTTCCCGGCCACTTAGCCAAGCCAATCATACTCATTCCTTACCACTTAGCTTAGGGGTCACCTCCCCTAAAAACCTTCCTTGACTTACAACCCCGTAATATATGCGTGTTGTTTCACTTACCATATTGAATTACAATTTGTGTGTCTTTCTGTCCCAGTCGACAGAATATGCTTGAGGGCAGGGATTACTGCTTCCACAGCAAGGCTGGGTATTGTCAGGCGTATACAATACACCTAATGTATAACAAATAAGGGAATGAATGTAGAAATAAATGAAGACCACCCCACTGGGATCAAAAAGAGGCTATTTGTCCTATACCTACTATAAAAAGGCAGCCAACCATCAACACTTATATTTGACAGAGACCTTAAGACTGTCAGGGAGGGACGCCTGGGTGGCTTAGTTAGTTAAGCGGCTGCCTTCGGCTCAGGTCATGATCCCGGCATCGTGGAATCGAGTACCACATCAGGCTCCTTGCTCAGCAGGGAGCCTGTTTCTCCTCTGCCTCTGCCTGCCACTCTGTCTGCCTGTGCTTGCTCTCTCTCGCTGACAAATAAATAAATAAAATCTTAAAAAAAAAAAAAAAAAGACTGTCAGGGAAATGGGAAAGCTTAAACTGGAGGGGGGGTGGGGGAGGAAGGCTTCATGTATGCTCTGATTTGAGAGTATTAACATAGGGAAGCTGGGGGTGGGCTTACTAGGAGCAGGGCATCTCATGTGATTGTGGGGAGCATATTCGGCTTTCTTTGATTGATCCTAAGTGAGAAGGCAGGGAAGCCGATAGTGAGCAGTAGTGAGAGCTCTAGGTTGATTGCTGTAGAGGTCATGGGTCACAATTCTAATGGTCTGACATTGTCCAGTTTATATGTTCAGGCTCTTCCCTCCATTTCCCTCCCAGCCTGGATTCGGTTCCTAACTTAACTTTTATCATCGATTCTCAGTGTTCTATTCTTTTTTGTCCTTTAATTCCCTACTCTGCTTCAGGTGTTATATTTTATCTGGGCCTCCAAAAGTCACATTGGGTAGAATAGTTGCATAAAGTTAGGATTAACTCCAAAATTATACAAATATCAGGTGTTTATATTATTCCAGAGCTCAGCTCGGGTAGTCATGGGAAAAACTCAACAAATGTTTTGGAATATATATATATATATATTTAATCTTGAGGTTGCCTGCCAACTGCGCCATTCTGTCTAACCTATGTATATTTCAAAATCCAGTGGTTCAATAAATGGGTGTTTTTGCATGGGAACAGAATTCCTATTTATGTTTTAAATAGTACTTAATCCATGTGATTTATGATCTATATTAACTTAGAGCTAAGGTGCATTGAAACATCTTCTAACTTATGTTTAATAACTACTATTATAGAACAGAAAAGAAATCCATATTTTAATCCCAATACTTCATTATACTTTCTTTGTCCATTGCACTTGGATAATACTTCCTTCAGTAAGTCCATATGCATCCAGGAATTTGTAAAACATGATTCTTTACAAAAGCCTGCAGTCCTTATCTGATTAACAGCTCACAGGCCTGAGTTCTGAGGTTTCCAGTCAGGAGGCCAAAAGAAGTAGGTTGAGATCATTTCCCCATCTCATTTGCTGTAACTCTCAACATGTTGAAACAAATTACAGAAATCCATATTTCAAAACTGGCCTTTAACTGCTTTTCAAAGACTTGCCTTCAGTTACATTTACAATTTTCTCAAGAAGTCCTTGACTCTACCCAGCTCTGAGCAAAATCAGCCATACCAGCCCCACACTTGGTATCAGTTGTCTCTATCACTTTATTTCCCCTCCTTTCTCCTTCATTCCACACACCATCCTGCCTTAATCTCTAAAGGAGTTGAAGTACTGTCATCTTCACTCTCCTTTCCAAGTTTACTGTCTTCTCTTCGTATGCCTTGTAGGCACCTCCTTGCCTATGACAAAACTCATTGTCTTGCCACTCTTACTTTATCCACCCAAACCTCCTCCATTTATATGCCCAACTTTAATGAACTACCCTGTGATCCACCCAAGTAGAAATTTGCAAGTCATTTTAGAATCTCTTCCTTCTACTTCTTTTCTGCTGTAGGGGAGCAAAATTTGCCACCCCCAAAGGCGACTCTTTTGCATGTGCATTATTTTAGGCTGATTATTTTTAACAAACAGAAGGCTCAAGAAGAGCCTTTCAAACCACCCCCCCCCAACCTGCCTACAAGAATTTGGATAGAGGACCTGCTCCAGGAAGGGAGCTAGCACCACAAGTAACTACAGTATAATATGGAACTAGGTGTGACACAGAGGGAGGAACTTAGCAAAGTCGTTTTATTAAGATTCCTCTCTGTGTCCCATCTTTTCTATATGGCTCAACAAACATTTGTTTACAAACATTTATTCTTTTTCTTCTTCCTGTGAATTGTCCTCCTTCCCTTTGAAGTCCCAGCTCAGAATGGCATATCAGCCTCAATTGCCTGACTACCTGTAGGCCCCTTAGTCTCGTGGAAGCCCCATCTATATGTAATTAAATTTTATTTTCTCCTGTTAATCTGTCTCATGTCAATTTAATTCTTAGGTCTGCCAAGAGAATCTTGAGGGAAATAGAAAATATTTTCCTCCCCAACACCTATTTCATCCAGTTAATGACTAGCTGTTCTTAATTCAAGTTTCTAAAATCCTTTCCAAAATCTTCTGATGAAGCCTTCTAGCTGGTGACCCTATCTCTAGACTCATGTCCCTCCTTAGTACCCCTCCATTCTGATATAGTGAAATACAATCATGCTAATTCCCATTTTAACATCTTTGTGGTTCCCCATCCCAACTGGATACAGTCCAGATTCCTTGGTATGGTGTGGCAGATTCTGCTGACTGCCTACCCAAAAAGCCAACAATCTCTTTTCTTAATTCTTAATTCTCAATTCTTAACAGAATCCCAATTTATTCTTATAACCACACTGCTCTGCTTGGCCATATGCATAAAGAGTGCCAGGCTCCAACACCAGCCCCAGGGAGTAAACTGTGATTGGTCTAAGTCGATCATGGTGTCCCACTCCCTAACCAAATATTGAGCCTGGGAATATGATGCAATTCTAGCCAATGATACCAAAGGGAAGCCAGCTGTTGGGAGGAACGAGAGGAAGAGGGGAAACATTTCTGGGAGAGGTTTTATCCAACTTATAAAGAGTATAAAAAGTTTACATAATGAGAGTAAGAAGAGAAAGTCCCTTTTCTGCCTCTAGAAGTAATCTTAAGGATATGAGGCCTGGAGCCTCTGTAGCCATCTTAGAACCATAGGGTGGGAGACTCAGGGTGTGGGGGTGGGGGGAAGCCTAGAAATAACAGAATAGAAGTACAGATAACATCATTAACATTGTTGCTAACTTAATGAACACAGGAGAAGCTCTACCTATGGACTTATTAGAGATACTAAATTCATTACTGCTCTCATTTTTAAGCCCATTGAATCGGGTAGTTCTGTCACCTGTACTCTCCTAAATGATACATGTGACTTCCAATACCTGATAAGATCTAGCCCCAACATCCTCTAGCTCCCCAGTAGTTATTCTCACCCACACCGTGACATATTTGCAGTTCTCAGAATTATGCCTTCTCTTACCTCTGAGCCTTGGTACTGGCTATTACTTCCGCATAAATGACTTTCTTTCACTTCTTTACGAAATGAATTCCTGCTTATCCTTCAGAAGCCAACTCACATGTCACCTGTGAGCTCCACCCAGTCTTCCTGGGTGCTTCTTTTTCTCTGCTCTTGTAGCACTTTGCTCATGTATGCTTCTGTGACGGCAAGAATACTTGTTTGAAAACCTGGCAGCTTTGTGAGTGGACCTGTCACTAGTTGGCCTGGTGGGAAGGCAGAGTAGCTAGGTTTATGAACTTTAATCTGTATGTTTGGTCCACAAAAGTGGGATCCCTGGGCTTAGCCTAGGCAGAAGAGGTTTAGACCAACAAGACTGATGGCTCTGCCTTATAAAATGCGGGATTTTGAGCATTCCCACTAGAGACTAGGTTTGGGAAGCCCTGGTAAGATAACATGAAAAAGACGAAGGAAAAGAGGGACCTATGCAAGGTGCTAGAAGACAAGACTAAAGAGAACAATGACCCATGAGAGAGTTCCTGCATTCTTTTTCTTTTTCTTTTCTTTTTCTTTTTTTAAAGATTTTATTTATTTGACAGAGAGAG